TACTAGAATAGTGTTTTTGTTTTCCCTATATAGACTATCTATTATGTGCTATGTAAGTCTCTTACCGTTACCTTGTTAATGGTAATGATCAGTTGATGATGATGATAATGTTTAAAATGATGCAGTCTACACGTTTTTTTTCACCAGAATTTGCAAGTATGGCTAGGTGGAATGTTTATCCCAGAAGCATACATTACAGCAACCAGGCAGTTCGTTGCTCAAGCTAACAGCTGGTCATTGGAAGAACTCCAAATGGAGGTAAGTTTTCTCAAATCCTTTATTTTCTCAAGCCACCTACAGGATGGGAAGTATGCTCTATTCTTCTGTGAAAGTCCTTTCCTGGGCTCAATTACTGGATCTGCCACTGCTTTATGAGGCTTAGCACGTGGAGCTATTTGTGGTCATGAGAACAGATCGTAAGACCATGAGGTCCATTCCAAACCCTTCAGAACATTATTTATACCGACACTGCATCTATATTGGTTAAAACCTAATGGTAACCATATTGTGTACTCAACCATCAAAATCTTTTTGTTCCTGGTTGTATTATGTCAAAGTGTTTTCCCTGAAATAAGTCCTTGGATTAGGTATGCTCATTCGAAAAACAAGCAGGGGATTTTTACTTTTGTACCAGAGGCCTATCCACGATTTCATTACACTAGGACAAGTTGAATTTGTCTACTTCCTTAACAAATATTATATAACAGTAGTTGACAGTGATTTAAATTTGGTCTTCTTTTCTATAAAGGTCACAGTAGCAGACAAGGGTCAAAAGCCCAAGATAGATGACTGCAGTTTTGCTGTCACTGGTAAGTTCTTTATTAACAGTGAACCTTTGTGTTGTAAAAAAAATACTGCCCTCTATATATTGTTATGCACTTATACTTGTCAAAGCCTGTGCAGCATCTGGACAAAGGTGACTGTTTCTATTGCAACAGAAACTGCTTCTATTGTAAAGAAATACTGATCTGTCTTTCTTACATGCTAATGTTGCCCTCCCTTCAACAAAGCTATTGTACATTTACACCTTCCTGTAATTTTTATTGTAAGTAAATACTGCTCTCTCTGTCTGATTTATTTGAATTAAATTTTGTCATAGACCTCAAGTTGCAGGGAGCCAAGTGTCAAAACAACAAGTTGTACCTATGTACCTCCATCTCAACTGACCTTCCGCTTACCATTCTGCGCTGGAAACGGTAAGATGTCAAATTGATGAATTTACTTGC